ACCACCTTCATCAACTGCAGCATTTCCATTGGGCTGAGGGGTTGGGGTGAACTGGAAGTCCAGGGTCTTGGGGGCGTTTTTCTCTCCATTCAGCCAATAAGTGACTTGCTTTCCCTTACCCTTGAAAAAAAAAACACCATCAAACCAGGAATGATTTTTTATACTATACATTAAGTGGGTGTTACAGTAGTAAAACACTTATTGAAAGGCCAAACACAAAAATACTGTTCATGAAAAACTTCTTGGTGGGAAAAGTGACTCACATGAAGGGCTCATGTGGCAAAATGTTGAGACAAAAATGGATGCACTTCAGTAAGTTTCCAGGTTCAATTAAGTTCTGAAGTTGATCTAATTGACATTCATGACCAAAATTGTACATGGGAAAAATAAGGTTCTTTCTCCAAAAATTATTACATCTTCAAAATTCTAGATGTAGACATTGGCAAGATGAATCCAATTGTTCACATAACAACATGCTGAAATACACAGGTTTCAGTTTGTATCCAAATTATAAGTTTTGGAACAAATTATATAGAAAGTGATTTTCAATCAATCAAGTGAAATAAAGTTTTAATGCAAACAATTTTTGAAGAATGGATTAAAAGTTTTGCCAAGACAGGGGGACCCAGAATGAAATCCGACTTCATTGATACAAAAAATGCCACCAGGTGTCGCCTGTGTTACCTTCATTTCAACCTCTCCTCTGCACTCAAGCAAGAAGGTTCCAAAGTGATCCAATGCTTCTTTGGTGGCAGCACTTACATGGATCCTCAGAGCTGTAATAGTGAAAAGGATCTCTCGTGAATCATTGATTGATCATGATGATGAATGACCAAGGGTAACTTACGGAGACCATTAGACTCCATTCTTGAAGTGGTGTTGACAGTGTCACCAAACAAACAATAACGTGGCATTTTCAGTCCCACAACTCCAGCACAAACTGGACCTTTATAAAAAAAAAACAGAAAAAAGATTTCATGAATATAATAGAGAACAAAAAATTACTGATCTCAGCAAAGTGCATCAGTGGGTCACCATGCATGTGGAAACTTCAATCTAGCCCAACATACAGGCTATAAACACATGTAAAAATAGTTTTTCTTTTCAAAGTTTTGGTATGTCTTTACCAAATTGAGTTTTTTATATTATCATAAATTAACAATAATTTCCTAATTCAAAACAGGATAATTTCTACTTTTTTTCTGAATTTTTTTGCATCATCCAAACGCAGTATGGGAAGACTTGTTCTTTTCTTGGGGTCATTTTCATGCCAAAAGACCACATTTAATAAGTTTCATTCTGCAATGTTTTTTCTGTATCTTGAAGTTGAGAAAAAATCCTTTGCTTCAGTTTTTAGTGCTTGATCAGTATAGTTCTCAATCTTTAATCAGTTAACAGTATAGGAGAACCACTTAAATATAACTGATTGAAGTCTATGGGAAAACTTGATCCAACATTATCAAAAAAAGTGCTGTCAAATTCATATTGATTTAAATTTATGAAAAATTTTAAGTATGCAAGATAAATTTTGAAAATTGCTACAAATTCAAGAAAGATGATTTTTACCAGTGTGTAAGCCAATTCTGAGTTTGATCTGGTCATTTGGCCGATGTCTGATAGAAAACTTTAATACTGCTTCCCTGAGTGCCAATGACATTCTTGCAATCTCTCTGGCATGGTTGATTCCATTTCTCATTGGCAACCCTGAAACCACCATATACGCATCTCCAATTGTCTCCACCTAAGAAAAAGAAAAAAAAGCATAAATTCAGGATTAAATGAACAACGCGCTCATTTGCCACAGAGATTTTAAAATTTCTGCACTTTTGACTCACCTTGTACACGTCAAAATTTTCAATTATGGAGTCAAAGCAGGTGTACAGGTCATTCAGGAGATCAACCACCTGAAATGAAAACAAATTATTTCTATCACCCACAGATTTCTTAAGTTTCTCCCAATTCAAAATTGGTGTCCAAAATTTGATATTTTCAATCATGGCTTCACCTGATTAAATTTAGAAATTGCCCACAGGTATAAATTCAATTAATACTATAGAAAGACTACAATTTTTGAGGCATTTCAGTTGCTCAAATAAATTGATACAATATACTACGCATCAAAATCGACCAATATTGATCTCTATTGACGGATTTCACCAGCTTCTTTCATGAAGATCCCTTTTGGGTCACACCAGCACAAACATCATCTTCAGAGGAAAAAAAACATTGCATTCATTGAGAAAAAACAAAAAGCTCTCCAGCACTCAAGAAAGAAGATCAATCATCTCTCTCCAGTACAAACATTACTTTCCCTCGGGCGAAAAAAAAAGATGGAAGCAGTACTCGGCTGAAAATGAATATATAATATGTACGTCAAATTTTCTGCACTTGATGAAAGCCTGCAGATCCTTCAAAAATTCAGCACTCGCATGGGAGAAACCCTCTGAAGAAGATCTGGAGAGAAAATCTTCCTTGATTTCTTTTCACTTGGGGGTCTGCTGAATTTCCCAATCCACTATATAAAACCCTTTCCAACGGGTTGGAAAGAAATCCCAGAAATTATAGAATTAAAGGCTGTTCAAAAAGTAACCTTGAAATTTAACATCCCTCAATTTGCAAGATTTGTCAGAAATATTTTCTTGACAAGAAAGGAACAATTGCTAAATTCCTTCTGATTGAAAGTTTGAAGACCAATAGATCAGCAATTTGGCTTTGAATAATCAAACTTACAATAATTTAACAGAAAATCAGAAAAGAAAACCGCTTGATCAGCCGGGCTGCGGCCGGGACTAAGAAGTCCTAGTATAAAATGATACATTTTCTCATTGTTTGAGGAAATGAACTCACAAGACAAGAGATTAAAAAAATGATTACAACTTCAAAGGTGATGAGAAAACACAACCAAAAAAAACCAGACTCTCGCAAGGTTTGCACAATTCCAAGATCAAGACTCAATTGATTCTTCAGCTAGTTTTTAGCTAACAGGAAAACTACTTCAATGAAGAGAAGAATGCAGAAAAAGGTCCTTGATGCTCAAGGATTCCACAAAAATAGATGTTGAAGGACAAAACAAATTTTGAGAGGAAGATTGTGGGAACTCAAGCTCACCTCTGGTCCCACAAGATTCCTCCAGGATTAGCGTCTTTGCTGATCCTTGTGAATCTATCATTTCTAAACAACCATTACTTTTATTTTTGACAAGATTTTCAAAGCATTGAGGGAAATTCCTAAAGTAAAAATTTGTGACAACGTATTACAGTAATTTCATACCCTATAAAAAGTGTTATGATGCGATGCTTTGAGCACGTGGAACTGATAAAAAATTAATTGTAAAAATGTTTCCACTGTACAGTGGCCCCCTGCCTAACAGACCTCCCGTGTAAGGGATTTTTGCCAAACAGACTAGCTCTGCAAGCAGTTTTTCCTCCTGCCCAACAGAC